TCCTCGGTTTTCTTTATTATTATCCCTTCTCGGTGTACACATCGGCCACTACACGGGTAAAGGGAATCGACGATTTTTTGTTTATGGACAACTCCGAAGACACCTAAATTTTGGCGACACAGGCTCTGTTTGGCGCATTGCATTGAAAATTCCATCCTCCATGCATGCGTGGCACATGCATTCTAGACACAGCTGTGTTCAGAATGAAATAACAAAACTACGGTCGCTTGTTGAGGCTTCCTCAAACTTGCATAGTGAAGAAGCGCCTCTGTACGCCAAATGTGGCAGCAACACAGACCGGCACGTCCCGCCGCGGTGGTCTAGTGGCTAAGGTACTCGGCTGCTGACCCGGAGGCCGCCGGATCGAATCCCGGCTGCGGCGGCTTCATTTCCGATGAAGGTGGAAAATGTTGCAGGCCCGTGTGCTCAGATTTGGGTGCATGTTAAAGAACCCCAGGACAGACCCACAACCTAAGGCGCTTCACCCCTAAAACCTGTAATATTCCCTTCTGCATGCTCAGGTTATAAAATGCGTAAAAAACTGATTGTTGTATGACAATGAAGAAGGTTGGGGTATTTCTTTAGAAGTCTTTTTACTTGGAAAGTACTTTTGTTTCACGCCGAGTGCTTATGTCTGAAAATGTGGGATGTGCATAAAACCATGCATCGCTTACATGATCTGTGACATTGTTTTAAGGTTTCACAGACAGGAAGGTCGTCTTCGTAATCCGTGAAGTGTCGTTTTCAGCTACTTCGATGATATTATATATTTGGCAATACTGAAGTTCACCGCCAGGGTCTTGATGAAATTCAGATATCATTCAGGCAGCAGGGTATGGGTCTCGCTTTTATTCACGAAGTCCCTTAAATGAACTAGCTACAGCTTCTAGGCCCACGACTTCCTTTGGTGAAAATTATGCGTGCTGGCATGAGCCCTCTACTACCGCGTCTCTCATAATCATATGGGGTTTTCGGGATGTTGAACCCCACATATTAACCAAAATAACATAGACCGGCATATCTTTTCATCATTGGATTGGACCAGGATTCAAGATGATTGTGTGTGTGAGGCCCCACCGTGGGTGGTCATAGTGGCTAAGGTACTCGACGTGCTGACCTGCTGGTCAAGGTGTACCGAAATCCCGGCTGCAGGCGACCTTGCAATTTTCGACAGAAAGGCGAAAATGCTGTAGACCCGTGTGCTCAGATTTGGGTTCATGTTAAGGAACCCCAGGGGGTTGAATTTTTTGGAGCCCTCCACTACGGCGTGTCTCATAATCATAAGGTGGTTTTGAGATATAAACCTGACATATCTGAATAATTCGGTGTGTGTGGTGGGTGTGTGTGTGTGTGTCAAACATTCCCACTACGACGGTGTAGTGGTTTTGGGGCTAGACTGCTGCCCAGAGTAGTGTGTTTGAAATCTCAGTAAATTAATCTACTACTTTTTGACGCGGTAGCAGGCATGCATTTCGGTTCTGTTGTTTCCAGGGTGCTGTTACAGTGTACTAGAAGGGGTAGTGCTGCCAAGTTGTCGCCGAGTGTGAGCGCTCTTTACCTCGCTGATGCCGCTAGTTTCTCCACATCTCGACCCGTTCGCCAAGCCTAAGTCGATCTGTTCCTTCACCATGAGTAGCGTACGGCGGCAGGCCTTCACGAGCACAGCAAAAGCTTAAGATCAGTCGTCGCCGAGGAATTCGGAAATCGCGCAGCGGGAAGACGGCACGATGTGGACGAGTCCTGCGTGAGACTGTGAAGAAGGAAGAAAGAGGGCCTACAAGCCGCGCACCGCGACCGTAGGTCATTTCGTGGCCCAAGACCGGTGCCTACCCTTAGCTGGAGGAGGAGCTAGTAATGTTCATCGAAGATGTGAGAAGCAGGGGTCACGCCGTATCGACTGAGATGGCCTAAGTGGAAGCGCAGAGACTTTTGAGGGAGCTAGTCCTACCTCAGGAGTTCCGTGCGAGCCGCGGATGGCTGCACCGCTTTATGAAGCGGCAAGGGCTCTCAATCAGACGGCGGACTACAATATGTCAACGCTTGCTGGCTTCTTATAAGGAGAAGCTGCTCAAGTACCAGAGATATGTAATTGGCCTGAGAAAGCGGCACAATTACATTTTCTCGCAAATCGGCAATGCGAATGAAACTCCTGTTTATTTTGAAATGCCAGTGGACACGATTGAGAAGACGGGCAGCAGTTCGGTGAGCGTGCTGACCGGCGGGAACGCGAAACTGCGCATCACAGTCTTGCTTTGAGCCCTCGCTGACGGCACGCAACTGTGACCGTAGTACATCTTGAAAATGAACTCTACCAAAGGTTCATTTGCCTGCCCGTGTGGTGGTGCGTGCACACGAGAACGCGTGGATGAACAGTGACTTGTTCGTAGCCTGGATCAAGACGGTATGGGAGAAGAGGCCCGATGCGATGCTTGCAAAGAGGTCCATGCTCGTTCTTGACTCCTTTCATGGCCACACAACTGAGGAAGTAAAGCGCCGCCTTTCACGCAACGGCAGCGACTTAGTTCTTATACCCGGTGGAATATCGTCAATGTTGCAGCCTCTGGATGTGCCGCTTAACAAGCCCTTCAAAGCGCATGTTAAGCGCTATTACGCCAAGTGGATGGCCGTAGGCTGCTACGACTTGACACCGACAGGACGAGTCCGAAGGCCTGATATTGCCCTATTCTGCAAGTGGATTGTCGAGGCATGGTAGGCCATTCCAAGTGAGATGGTGCGAAAAAGTTTCAAGAAACGCTGCACCACAAACAACATAGATTTAACCGAAAATGACCTTGTGCATAATAGTGAGGACTGCGGCTCAAGTGATAGCTCTAGCGAGAGCAGCGAGAGTGAGTGAAATGGGACTGGCCTTGCAGACAGTGTATTCCGCTTGCTAAATAAAGCTTTTTCTGTCTACATATGTGCTATGTTGCTTGAGCAGTAGCTTCTGTACAGTCTTTCCTGTATATCAAATGTGCGGGCAATACGCGAGGATTTTTTTTTTCCTCTGCGAGCTGAAAGTGGGGCTGCGGATTACGGTATATGCAGGGGCGGGTTATACGTGCAAAAATAGGGTAAGCGGATTTAGGCTTTTTCTTCTTTTTTTTTGTTGCAGAGTCTGTTATACAATATTCTGGTCACCTGCTGCGTTTTTCGTGCTTACGAGCATTTTCCCGCAAATATATAGTAATTTTGGTGATCATCACAATCACCAGTAGCACTTTGCTTGATCACTTTATGTAGTTGAGTGTTGAAGTTAAACATGCGCTGAGGGAATTGACAAAAATTGTTAACCATGCACTGGCAAACATGCATTCAAAAAATGGAGAGAATCTTGAAGGCAATGTTATAAGGTAAATACGTGTTTTTATTCGTAGTTGCACATACTTTAACTGTAGAAAATGGAATTTTTTTTCAACTGCCTGTCGTACTTCAGTGACAATTTTTATTATGAATAAAACTCTATAGAGTGAGAAAAATTAAAATTGTCATTTATTTTGGGCTTCTTTGCAAAAGTGCCATTTTTCTCGTAGCTTCTTTCCTGCTGATGTGCTTTTTTACCACGGTAGCATCTTGCAACTATGTGGTGTCCACATAAGGCCGTTGCAAGAGAAATGAAATCATTCGCTAGGTGGGCTTTCCAAATCGGAAGCTGTATGCGTTTCCATTTAAAGAATTCATCGCATGAGATGTGCATGCGGTGAAAATTCTGTGCTCAACATTGATATTGTGTACAGAGGCTCCAGCAGACAATACTTGTGTTCCTATATTTAGTGAAACCGTGAAAGCTATGTCTCATTCATGTGAAGGTAATGTCAGCAATGGTATGCCAAAGCAAGCGATCTCATGGGCACTACGTAGCTTCTATTTAGTAATTAGCCGAGCCTTCTGAACAGCTCAGCAGAGCCATTTGATCTTACAGGCATATTTATGATGAATATAGGCACTTTTCGGCTCAATCTGTGGACCTGCTTTCTGTCATCGCAGTCGTAGAAATCCTACAGTTCGAGCCACATTAGAACTTTGATGTAATTGATAAACATGCTAGTTTGTGGCTAAGTAATGTGCACATTTTGATTTACATCAACTTTGGATCGTGTGTTGTCTGTGCTACTTTGGCTTGCAAACTGATAAATCGGCCCATTTCGCGTTTTGTGGTTCTATTCCTCGCACCGAAAAATTGTGCTTGCTTCGTTAGATGTATGGAGTGCTCTGGTTAATGTTTTCTGCAAAGTAAACTTCTTAAAAATGGCTTATGCATTGTAGGGTTTTGTGGGATTGCGCGAGGCATTTGCTTTCCCACATGCTTTATTGATGGCAACCACAGACGCTGTTGTTCCTGCAGCGTCTTCTTCTTCTAGTGTTAGGCTCAAACAGGCTTCGCAGCAACAGAAGTCATCAGCTACTCATAAGGATTGCTTTTTCGCACACTGGCTACCTCGCTAGAAGGGGCCCTGCAGCGAGCAGTCAGCATCTAGGAGAGGACGACAGTTACGCCTTACCTGCTCCGAACGTTCAAGCCTAGCCTGAGATATGAAGACGTCCGCAAGAAAGACATTGGGGTGTTCCATCACAAGACAAGCATCGATAGAACATGTGGGAAGCCAACGTCTCGAGTTTTCCCGCTAGTGGTGACTCGTGCGTGATTCAAACCCGCAACCTTCGGACATACAGTAGACTCTCAGTAAATGGAACCTGAAGGGACTGGGAAAATATGTTCCATTTAACACGAGTTCCGTTTACTGAAAGGTGAACATGGGTGCAGAATACAAGCCTAAAACCAAGTATTGCAGAGGGAATAGTTCAGTTTAAGCAGTAGTTCTGTTTAACAGATTTCCATTAAGTGAGAGTCTACTGTAGTTTGAATAAACGATACGATGACGTAGTTCAACGATTCAAACATGCAACCTTTGTGATGCTGGGTAAGCTTAAATGTGGGGTGTCCGTTTCGACATGCCCCTTACTTTGCTAAAGCACTTGCCTTCATATTTGGCTGTCTGCAGATGAGCTTTGTGTGCTGTCAGAGGAGCCTCTAGCTGTGGCGGATGATGCTGTGGAAGACAGCTGGCTGTCTTCTATCGCTGCGCCTGGCATGGACCATCTCGGTGAAGGTGCGTCTCTGCGGTTCTGGTGTTGGCTTAATTCAGAGCTCGATATCGCACCACTCTTAGACCTGACATTGCGGCCTTTTTTTGCTGAAATTCGATTAGATTAAAAATGCATTAGCTTGGAAGTAAATGCAAGATAAAATACAATAGCAATACAGTGGGGAACAAGGGGTGAGGTTTATAATAACACTGTCATATTCATTCGAATATTGTTACGAGTGAATGTCGTGTAAAATATGTTGGCATTACAACAGGGGACAGGGGTGAGGTTTATATAAGGTCTGTTCAAGTTATGCAAATATAGTATAGTTCATTCAAGTTACGCAAACATAGTATCCTGTGGCGCAAACTCTGGCGCTGTGATTGTTCAGCCGCCGTGGGAATGATGGGTGCTATACAAATATCCGCCTAATCTTCGTGCTCGCGACTTCGACTGCACTTGTGGATTTGTTTGTTCTTGTGTTTTCACGTTTGTTTTGGATAGAAGAATAGCTTGTTGTCAACATTTAGGCGGATCTGAATATTGTGCATGCATTTATTCCACGTGCAAGAAGTGCATGATGGTCATGAGACCATCGGGCTTTGGTACTAAAGGAGCACAGGTAAAATCCAGGCACCTGAACATATCTTTAAGTTCGTTTAATAATTAGAAACGCCACTTCATCAACACCGTCACTTTTCTTGAACCTGATCCACAACTGTCTATTGGTAAGTGCCATCTTGCGTTGACTTGGCCGTGCAGCTCAAGTTACCCCTCAATTCGAATTATTTGAATTTTGCTGTACCTGTTTGAGCAGTGTTGAAGGGAGACCAAGGCACAGCTCAGCATGCAATAGATTCCGCACAGTTTCGAAAACACGTGCCAGTCCTCCTTCATCAGGCGTGCTTGAGTATTGTGCATTATTTCATTCTTCCAGAACTTTCAAGCCAACTTGAGCTTGAGTTTGTAAAGCTTCGCTGCGACGCACCCGAATGGCTGGAACCTGTCCCCGATGTGCCCGTCCCAGCCGTGGAACTCAGTGTGGTAAGTAAGCAGGGCACAGATACTGTTACGACGGCATCAGTGGGCTGTTGGACTCTTGAGCGTAGTTTGGTGCGCTGCAGGATCTGAAAAGAACTTGAAGTTTCATGTTTTGTTCATCACTATTCTGATATATACATTTTTTTAATGGTGATTCAACAATCGGAGGTACCAAAGTAAGAGGAGTCAGGGGGACCTAAATAAATCTAGCAGTGGATTAGTTTGTTATATTAGAAGTTAACAATAGCATACGCAGCACCTGTTAAGGGGAGATGCGATTAGGAAAAAAAGGTTGCATGAACGTTTAGCCTAGGGCAATGAAATATTTGCTGTTTATATGTATATTCAGACTTTTATGCTGATTTGAAATATGTAATTAGAGTAACTTCGTTTAAACAAAATTGGAAGGGACCAGGAAAATGAGTTTCCTTCAAGAGGAGTTTCGTTTACTGAGAGATAAACAGGGGTACAATATTCAAATACGAAACCAAACATATTAGTGGAAGTTGTTGCATTTCGTTCAATAGTATTTTTCTTTATAGTAGATTGCGCAGTTTTCTCTTTGTGCCTTGACAATGGGCAAAGTACAGTAGTCTCTCAGTGAACGGAACCTCAAGGGACCAGGAAAATATGTTCCATTCAAGAGGAGTGCAGTTTACCGAGAGGTGAACGTGAGTGCAGAATAAAAGCCCGAAACCCAGCATTGCAGAGGAAGTAGTTCCGTTTAAGGAGTAGTTTCGTATAACAGATTTCTGTTTACTCAGTCTACTGTATAGAGTTGAACCCCTTTATAAGAGGCATCCTCCGGGCAGCAATTCTTGTTTTTTATAGGAGATGTCTCTTATAGGAAGGGTAACTCGTGTGCATTTTCTCATCAACCCGTATTTTACTGTAGGCAAACGGTGTCTCTTACACCCATTTGTCTCTTATATCAGTGTCTCTTGTAAAGGGCTTTGACTGTAGTTTGTTTTAGACAAGCATTTTATGCCATCGAATTTTTATGGCTCGTGCTGCTCCACATTAACTGTAGAAGTCAAGTAACTATCTTGTTTAAAAAAAAGAAAACCAGGATTTTTTTCCTAACCTGCTCCAAATTTAGATTTTCATGCTCAGAAGCAATATTTTGCTGTTCTAAAAATTGTTCCAAATGCTGATTGAGCTGTTGCACCCCTGCATAATTTGTGTGTTCATCAATTATTCCATGTGATCTATCGCCGCTGTGCTGCTTGCAGTTAGATTTCAAACAAACTGAAACAAAAAAAAGACGGGTGACGCAGAACTGAGCTAGTCAGCATTAAGAGTACTCTGTCTGCATTATCTCCCGCAAGATCGTAATTTTGTCTGAAAATGAGTTTGTATAAATCCAAAAGTGAGGAGAGGATTGTTGAGTATGCCAGCCATAGTTGCTAGCAATTGGAACCTATCTTTTTTTTTAATTCTCAGCTTTCATATCGGAAATGCTGATGAAAACGGGGGAGAAGCTCAAGCTTATTGAAATGGAGTTTCTGCAAGTGTGCAATGTTTTTATTCTGCATTTCATGCTATTTATGTGAATGCAAGTCATACCTTTCCTTAGTATCTGAAGGCAGCTATCTAACAAGTATCAGCTTGCGACATCGTTGGCTTGATGGTCGTGCACACCCTTGCCTTTTCAGGATGGGCTGGCCGATCCAGATGAAGACGACTTGGAGATAGAAGCCATGCATTTGTACGACGACGAAGGCAAGTGCTTTTCACATTGTTCCGTAGCTTGCATGTGAGAACGATGCATTTGTTGCTGAATGCTGTGTAGGTCAACCAGCAACTCTAAATTTATAGCTGTCACCACTTTGATACGGTAGTCTGTCGGCAAGGTGCTTTGTTGAAGGCAACAACTTTAATCATGCACATGGGAACTTCTTATGTGTGCCTTAGTAGACAGATGGCAGAGCATACACATGAACAAGGCTATGGCAACCATGAGGGAAATAAGTGGGCACAAATGAGGGAAAAAAACTAAATGTTTTATTTTATTGTTCCTAGATTTATTGTTGTGTTTAGGAATGCCGCAACTAGCCTAACTAAGGTAATGTTGACATTACACAAAAATGCAGCAACTAGCCTAACTAAGGTAATGTTGACATTACACAAAAACCTATTGAATTTTCATAAAGAGCTTGCAAGTCCGAAAATTGAATAGCTCTGGCTTGTCGTCTGGCCCTGGCTAGCATAAGCAATGTCAAAGGGCAGGAATCTGTTGCAATTTCGAGCATCTTTGGGTGCACCGGAGTCGGCATTCAGAAGACTTTTTAATCATGCCGAGCACCAAGTGCACCGAAAAGGATACATTATTAACATGAGCCTGCTACGCAAAGGCGTGTTTTGTAGCTTTTCATTGGAAAGTTTGAAAGCTGCATTTTTTTATTTAGCTGGTTCCACCAGCACATCCTGGGTTTTTCAAATAAGATGACCTTCTCGAAAATTGAAAAACGGAAGCGAAGCCGGTCACGTCCTATTGCTAACAAGCGCAGTCAACTACACAAATTTTGCAAGAAAAACTTGGAAGGCAAAAAAATTCAAGACTACATGTCCACGAATGGGAAGGGGTGTGCCAGCAGCACGCCATGCATGGATTACTCCTATATGTGAAATTTCTTGTAACAGTGGCAAAGTTGTGCATTCACTGGCCCTTATCGCAGGCAAAGTGCATGGCGCACACTTCTCTGAGAAACACTGACATGTGTATAGATGTGTACATGGTTGTCCATTGGAGGGAGAAAGAAATTTGCATTGCTACCCCCCCCCCCCTCATTTTATTTGGTCAATCCTGGATAGGCCTCACAACAGATGTAAAACCTGATAACAAAGCGATGTACTGCTTTTCAGAACTGCTTCCTTTTGGTCTCCAGCTTGTTGGGAGTAAAGGTGGGGGAAGTAGGCTGTTCTCGAAATGCAGTATTGTAAGTCCTCGGCAGCCATTACTGTGGAAAACCTTTGTGGAACGACTGTATATGCATTTCCAACTAAGTAAAGGCATGGGGTGCCTCCCTTGATAATTAGGGTGTGGTGACAGCTCTCAAGTGAAGTCTTGGAGTATGCACCAGCCCAGTCAACGGCAGGCAATGGGAAAGCCAAGGAAGTTGTTTGCCAGTCCTTTGATTTAATGTACTCCGCGTTTTGATGACTTTGTTAGCACGGCTACACTGCCTGCTTTGTTTGGAGTTGCATAGTTGGTTATAGATTCACAGAACAGCACCTCTTGCTGCGGTGAAGCCATCTTTACAAGGAGGGTTACATGTGGTTACATTCCAGAGTTGTAATGACTCGGTAATGTTAGATTGCTTCTAATCAGTTACATTTTATAATTTTATAATATAATCAGTTACTTTTCAGAAACTGTAATATGCTGGAAAATTCAATGACATTCTTGTAATTGATTACAGGTAGCGACTTTTTTTTTTCAAAATAAACTTGTAAGCAGTTTTCTACAGTAGCTTTTATCCTGAAACTTATGCAACTTCTTTGTAGAGGCTCCCTATCAGAGCTTCTTTTTTTTTTTCACTTTTTCATTGGTCTTACCTGCAACACATTACCCGAGCATCAGCAACAGCAAAGCGTGACGCTTCATAGAGGACATGGACACTAGCATCGAAGCAGTGCTTAACCACAGGCTGGTGTGCATGGTGTTCTTACGTGATATCACTCTTCCCTCTAGCGCATGCATTAAGATAGTGTTTAGTGTAGCAGCTCGCTCTTAATGAGGAAACATGGAAGAATCTGCGACCAGCAACTTCGATAAACAACTCTCGTTGAAAAAAGCTGTAACACTACATCAGCAGCAGCCACGGTAAGCCACCCAGCCTTCACGCAAGCCTCCAGACCTCTCGACCATTCAAGCCGCAATGTTTAACTTTTGTTTTCACGTTTTGTAAATAAAATTTTGAAGGAAAGTAATGCAACAGTAATTGATTAGGCGTCTATAATGACTCTGTTACTTTTTCGGGGCTGTACTTGACCTCTGTAATCAGCTGAATTTTAAAGTAATTCTGATCAGTTATTACCTATGTTCTTCAGGGTTCACGTGGGTCCTTCAAAAAATAAAGCTCCTGAATTCGAAAAGTTCATTTTTAAGGCATTGAAAGTGGTGTAACTTTTGGAAATGTCTTAAAATCCTCGAATTTATTTTTTTCTTTAGTAAGCATTGTCGCACATTTGTAGGCTTGTGCGAATAGTAAATTTCAGGGTGAAAGTGGATTCGAAGCGAATAGTGATTTTCGTCGAATAGTTTCGCATTGAATTCGAATAGTATGTATAACATATAAAAAAAGGAAATATTTAACATAACCTAACTAACCTGCACAATATTTCTTTAGAATTGAAATAGGGGCTCTATGCAAATGCCTTTTTTTTTTTTCGTGTAAAGGAAGTCGAAACAACCTTGATTAGTAGTTTTGGTGGGATCCGAGTGATAAACCTGTAAGATACATGACGTTTTAAAATTTATAATACTCAAATCATATAAACCATCACAACAAGCTTAATGAAATCAAGGATTGATTTGAGAGTAAAAAGGGGCCCTGCAACACTTTTTCAAGTATCGATGGAGCCAGTAAACACGCTTGTCACCTCACAAATTTACCACTGCAAAGTTTCTAGAATCAGTCCAATACGAGCGGAGTTCCAAAAATTTGTCGCATGCTGCAATTGCATTCTCCATTCTCGACCCATCAAAAGAGCTGGAAGCTAAGAAGGGAAGGATGGCACGGGGAAAGAAAAAAACATCACGAGTGCATAGTGACCTTGAGCATTTTTTTTCTCTCTTTTTTTCTTTGAATATGCGGCCTTTCAGTGCGATTGTGCACGTACTTGTGGACAAGCGCCGGCTTCCCGCAGCGGTCTGGTAACGATGAACGCGCCATTCTCAAATCAGCCAATGACTGTGACCAGGGCCGTGTTCTCTTTCTTGGCTGTGACAAGTGATTTTTGAGCTTGTAGTGTCATTTGCCGCTGGAAGAGAGCAATATTTAGCTTTGAAAATTCATTGTGAATTTCAGGGCGCGTGCTTCGCTATAGGCAAGATTTTAGATGGGATATCTATGTTCTCGCTTCCGCGCCACCTGAAACGAAACTTCTAGCCTACAAAGCATTCGTCAGACCTCTCTTAGAATATGCAAACGTCACGTGGTTTCCCTTTACAAACAATCTCATAATTGCCCCAGAACGAATACAACGAAAAGCGATAAGATTTGTCTATAACAAGTACAGAATAACTGACTCACCCACAGAACTTTTTTAAAAAGCAGGTCTCTTAACAATAAAAAACCGCGCTAAACTGACACGTCAGAAATTTCTATATCAGTTAGTTCACCAACAGCTAAACATAGACAGTTCAAAGTGCATGTCATTTAAAGAAACAAGGCCAACACGACAAAAGCATTCTCAGACACTGAATGAATATGAGTGGCGTACGGACTGTCTGAAATATTCTTTTTTTCCACTAGCAATTCACGAGTGGAATAACTTGCCAATCAGTATAACAAACAGTCAATCATTGGAAACTTTTTCATCCCTGCTCGAATGTTATTTATTGTCTTCAGAATTCACGAACTTTCTTGTCCACTGTTCGAAGTGCTCACTATTCATTTTTTCAGTACTAGTTGGAATTGATGTCCTATGCTACTGAATGTATATTAGTGGTACTGATGTAGTCATCAAATGTATTTCTGTCGGCTTTGTCTCACTCGTTATTATAATAATTCAGTGAGTACCCTCTGTATAAATCTTGCCCTTTCACAATGTATGTGCCCTTCCTGCAATAATCCCTAATTTGGATTGGCAGTATATGTAAATAAATAAATAAATAAATAAATAAAACTTGCCTCGCGTGTTTTCGGTAGCCTCGACTACCGATCGGCAGCGTTTTCTAACCATGCTCAGTAAGTGTTGCAGGGCCCTTTTAAATCTGAAGGGGAGCTTCGCGGCAAAGCAAATTCCTCCTGAGTAGGTGCTTTCACGGTTTAGCACCACGACGGTGCAGTAAAATCACCTTTACAGGTGGACTAATATACATTTATTTGTTTATTGCGAATACTTCGAAAATATTCGATAGTTTAAATTCGAATCGAAGTGAATTCGAATACTCACTTATTCGTTCGAATATTCGAAGCATTCGAATATTCGCACAAGCCTACACATTTGACATTGCAATATTTGTGATGCCGTAAATGTAGCACGTGAAATATCTAGTGTGCCCATCCTAAAAGAATTAAGATCAGCAGCTCCCTCAAGGAACCGACATGGTGGATTCCTAGAAACTCTAAAAAGACCGGAGCAGGAGAAAGGGAAACAGAAAAATTAATCTTGCATTCAGGAGGAGGTGCGAAATGCTTACAAAAAAAAAGAAAAGAAAATAAAAGCTTCTGTTGAGGAATTAATAGCTATAGCAGACTTGTATGCAGAAAATGCAGAGACAAAAACTTGATGTGCATCATCAAGCCAAACGTCCTTGGGAAGACTGCCAAGAGCAAGCAGCAGGAGATAGTGAATATCGATATGAACATTCGGCAAACGCAACAAGGCGTTGCACAATTTGTTCCATAGTTTTTTTCTGGGTAAAAGTTTGCAACTTGTGTCATAATGAAAGTGATTACCTATGCAAGTTTCAGAAACTGATTGAAAGTTGTCTAGTAAGAAAATATCATTGGAGCCATGTTTTCGACATCTGCTTCATGATGTTGCCCTTTTTTGATCAATTATAGTTATTTCAAGGCTTTATCCTCTCCTGAAAATGTGTTGAGTTTTAAATGGAAAATGTGGTCCTTGAAACTTTGCCCACATAGCTTTGAAAGTCCTTGAAAACTCTTGAATTTTTGCCATGCAAACAAGTATGGACCCTGTTTCTGTAACATATACAGGTCTGATCTATTTATTTTTAATAACTTTGCATTTATGTGGATTCTAATACTGTCATATTCGTTCAATTATTTGAAATGTGCGAGTATTTACACGGGCCTAACGAAGAAGTACTATACTTCTATGTCCCTTTCTTGAGCGAACTATATAAATTGCTTGTGGTAAGCTATACCTTTCGTGTTCCCCACTTTTCCGCTTTCTCTACAGAGGGCTTCTTCGACTTGCCAGAGGAGTTCAAACTGGAGGACAAGCACTTCGAGGTGTTTAGAGACCTGCGTGGCGTGAGGCTGCATTTTAGGCGCAGCGTGGCGGTTGTTTCACCAATGCCCCCAGAGATTCCACCCCTGTCCGTGCTGGACTTGGGCTACATGGAAGGTGAGCACTCGAAAAATTGCTTTTCCAGGCTGAGTGCTGAGGCTTCTTCAGAATGGAGACATTGTATTTAGGGTCATAGCAAGCATAAGCTCACTCCAGGAATGTTGTCCACTGTGGTAATGCATGTGGACGGCCGTGCTTGCTTGTGTTATCCTGGCACAATCGCTCTGGGTGATGCTGATGCTGGAGCATGTTACTAAAAACTACCTTGTGTCATAAAAATGTTTTTGCAAATGGCAACCTGGAATGGCAAAACTACTGTAAAATGTCATGGTATCTTTGGCTGGCAGCATCGATGTAGTTTTTTGTGCATTCTTGCGGTGTCATACAATCAGCAGGGCAACACGCGTGCAGCGCCGTTTGTTTGGCTGGACCGGCCACGACACGAGTGCCAGCCACCGCGGCACTGCTGGGGTTCACGGTGGAGCATGGTGCAATTCCACAAGCCTATGGGCGCTGGCAGACAGTGAGGTGATGATGCATCATTGTAGACAAAATTAGCAGCTGGAGCTGCCGCGGAACACGGCTTGATGGGACAAGAAACGTGCGTGCACGTACATCGTCCAAATGTGCTCGCACAAAGGTACTTTTGCTGCCAGGATTTTACTGGACACCAATAGCGATGCGAAAATTACCGCAACTCTTGTCGAGTTGGTGCTGAATCGAGGCAGCACAGCCTTTTGGAGAACAGACTCGCACTTACTGGACATGTAGCGTCTTGCAAGTGTCTCTCATTGTTTGGTTTTCTGTTCGCTCCCTTATTACCAGTACAAACAGGGTGCTGAAAATTGCCGTCTGCTAAATGGGATCTCGCAGACAGCGCTGCTGTTGCAGATTTCAGTCTTTTGGTTCACACGATCATCTAGCCCATAGTGAGGCTTTCTATGCTCCTGCCAAAAATCTCGCAAGCTCTGTCCGATTTCATGATGCACTCTTGTGAAAGTTTAGCACATCTCATCAGACATCCACCTTCACTTTGCCTATGTCACGACACCAGGGGAAGTAAGATACCGAGGAGCTCTTATCATTTTTCTTCCTTGAAATTTATCGCTTGGTGTAAATATGTATTAGTGCAGTCTTCTGCAATGTCGGAAGACGAGGGTGATAGAACATGTGCAAGTGTTTCACCTGATTATCCCTAGCTGTCCACATTAGTAGAACAGTGGTTTCAGTGCTTGGCAGTTGACCCAAAGGTTGCGGTTTCGATCCTGGTGATGGTGGTCACATTTTGATGAAGGTGAAATGGTTGAGGCTGGTGGTTGAAATTTTTACAGCCCTCCACTACGCCATGCCTTAATGTCATATCGCGATTTCGGTACACACATTCAAGGTTATTCGTAATAATATTATGACCATCTCCAGCTAATCCTTGGTAGTGCACTTTGATTGTCTCTCATTGAAAAAATTCACATCAGGAACTCGTATACCTACATGTGCATGTCTCGGTTTTTAACACAATATGCATCCTGTTCATTGTACTCTCATGAGATCAAAGGCATCTTGTACTAGAATCTGGTCCTCTTTGCAACTATGTCTTTAAAGCCAGAATAATGCATTCGCATTCCAACAGAGTGACATGATTACTATGGTCACGAGGTCAGTGGCATTATATAGGGGTGTGATACGATAGAAAGTGTCACATTGTCTGTTAAAGTGCAGAAACTCCTAAATGAGCAGAAACTCCTAAATAAAAGGTTACGGTGGCGGTAACGTGGGTATAAGCTGTCCCTCATGCATTGTCACCACAAGGTGTGAATCGTGATGCGTTGTCTTGTCAAACTTTTGTGCTTTAATTGTGAGGCTCACCATATTGCGATGCACACGATAAAATCATTCTTTTAGTAAGTACATGGAATTGCGGCGTAACAACATATGTTTATTTAGGGGTAGTCGGACTTTAAATAGTACATGTGCAATTTGGTATTAGTGGTATCAACTGTGAATAAACACGTTGAGCCACTCAGCAATTATGGGTATGTCTTCAGAAAAGCTTACTTTCTTCAAAACTACGTGCGTGTTGAAGACAAGTGAAATCTCTCTGAATATGGTGAGGGTTAAATGAGTCCAAATCTGTTTTTATTGCTCTTGCATGGAAATGTCTTGTTCTGAAAGGTAGACATTGTGCCTGAAGGAGGTATAGTGCAGCTGACTGTATAGGACACCTCATTATAAATCATGTCACCCAGGGATGACTAAACTCTAAATGCAGCCTCGATTCAAAGCTGCGACTAAAATTTTCTTGATATGTGCTCATTCTCATCCATCATTTCCACAGATGGCTTTGTGGACCTGGAGGCAATCGACAAGCCTGTCCCACAAAGCGTACTTCAGTGTGTGCCTCTGGACTGAGCAAGTTCCACGTCGGTGCCTTCAATCTGCGACTGTCTGCCCACGTCTGTGCCTGGTCAACTGAGCTATGTCCAGAGTGCACTGCTTTCAAGTCGTTTTTTTTATCTTTTATGTGACAGGCAGCACATAATTGGGGCTCCAAACATTCTGCACCAAAGAAAATATAATCTGGCAGCTTGGATTGTGTGCTGTGTCTGCCTCCTTACCTTTTACGTGCCTCTGACGAACACTTTGCTGTGAACTTTAGCTGTAAGAATATACCAATACAGAGTGTAAATAAAGTGTTTAAAAACTAAGCAGCATACTCTGTCCAAGTTGAAGGTCACCCATGCTGATAATATGTCCAAAGTCTTTTCTCTTTCTAGAAAATATGTCAACCTTACTTTGAGTGAAATCTCCTTTTCTGATTTGCATGGTTAGTAATGCAATAAAAGTTTATGCAACGTCTGCGTAATCCCAGCGTTCGTCCGATTGGGAAATTTACCTTTACTGGCTTGCATAGTCATCCTACCATAATGAAGCACTCCGTGAGCTTCTAAACTTGTGAAGCTGAGAAAAAGATGTCTCGCCATTTGTGGGTCGCTCTACTAGTTAACTTTAGATTCTATATCATAATAATAGCCTTGCAGTTTGATAGAATGTTTATTCAATTAAGCTTCTGTGGCATTAGTGGCATCTAGCTTTCTGCCTTGTTCCTCATGGGGAGTCATTGTAGCTTTCTACCATGACTCCCCTTGATTTTAGGCTAAGGAAGACACCCTTTGCAAGTGTTCCCTTTGATATTTATCTTCCAAGGGTCACGGACTATTCTTGTAATATGTGCTTTGGCACCACGATGTGTTATGAGATTTCATCATTGCCACCACAGGCATGCCCCATCTTGTATAATGCTGGGTGTACTATGGGAAGTGGGGTGAAGAGGGTGAAGTATTGCTGCAGTGCAGTGCAGTGTCCCCAATGCGTACAAAAGCAGACGTCAAGGCACCCAACTGCAATGTCAACTCCCTTCTTCCCTCCCCCCCCCCCTTCTTGGGTTGAGCCCTCAAGATTGCAAGGCTCGCAAAATTTTAAATAATGTAGTGATGTGCTCCTGTCAACAGTCTGCCCATGGGTCCCCCCCCCCTCCCCCGGTTTTTCGAGGTATTAAGAGCGAAACAATTTTTCTTGATGTTCACGCGTTAAAATTACCCATGGCTGTACTCCCAATTCCTGGGTTGATGTAAACTGTCGATCACTGCTTGCACCTAACCGCATACCACCTAAAATGTCTTAACCACCAGACCATAGTTCATGCACGAGCAACTGGTGAACCTTCAGTTTGAGTTCAAGCTCCCCTATAAAATGGGGGTGGAGTCCTTCAGAACGTCAATAAAGTTTTTCATCCATCCACCCATCAATTCATTCATGCGTAATTGTTACCACGCGGCATTTTAAATGCACTGTTAAAAGAACGCCTAAATAATCCTAAGAATGCGGTTACTGCAACAGACGCATCGCAATGTGAGGAAAGAGCTGGCAGAGGAATATTTTGCCCTGATCTCGAGTGGCCTTTATTACCAGTGCCTGATTTTATTCCTGTTTGGTTTGGTTTGGGAAAACTTTATTGGGAAAGTCCAAAGGCCTGCGCCCTAGGCCTAGCACACGGCGGGCCACTCCTACGATGGGACATAAGGCCGAGACCTAGCGAGTATGTTTTTGGCCTTTTTGCTCACAGCTCCAACACTGAAGGCACGAATGGCAGCTCTAGAATCACTGCAAGTATGTTCATGACTCTAATCTAAAAGAGCCGAGGCAAAGGCAACCTACTCGGCTGCATAGGCAGTTTTGATGCATACCGACGCCGCATTGTCACCCCTTTGTGGTTGATTGCCACTACCGTGAATTGGTCGCTCTGGTCATCATATTGCACCGCGTCTACGAAACAGGCACCCCGTCGAGATCTGCTACTTGGCGGAAAAGGGCCCAAGCGCGTGCTCTCCTCCTTCTAACATTTCGTTGTGGATGCATGTTCCGTGGAGCAGGCGCAACAATGATGTTCTCCTTCTGATCCCTCGTCAACCTTTGGTACAAAGCTTCAACGTGAGCTGGTGGAATACCCATATCTGCGAGAATCATCCTCCCCGCTTTTGAGACAGACAGCCTAATTACCTGTGCTCTTCCTCGCGCTTTTCGCGATTTCTTCCAATGCATTATGAATTCCCAACTGCAGGAGACGATCAGTGTGGGTGTAGCTTGGGAGCCCAAGGGCATTATTTTCCGCTCTCTTTATCATTGCATTAAGCTCGTCTCTTTCAAACATGCATTGCTGCCACATATGCAAAATGACACAGCAGAAAAGTATGTATAAGCCTGACCCAGTTGTCCTCTGATAGTCCTGCCCTTCGATTAGCCACCTGCCTTATATGCATAATTACACTGTCTGTCTTTTTTGCTAACCTTTGAATTGTGATGTTATTGGTGCCCGTTGCTTCTAGCATCATACCTAAAATCCGAATGGAAGCGACTTTGGGGATTGATCGCTTACTTTTGGTACGCAGGTGGATCTCTGCCCTTAGGGGCAGCACCCAGCCTCGCGATCAACGGCCCTTCCTGACCGGGTTATAAAGGGGAAGCTCAGACTTTTCCGGTGAGCAGGAAAGGCCTGTGTCCTCTAGAAAACTCTTGGTAGTGTCGATGGCTTTTTTGCAGGGCAGCCTATACAGTGCCATAACTTCCTTCTCTACACCAAATGGTGATAACATCAGCATAAATTGTGTGACCAACATCTGAAATTCCAGAAAGCTGCCTCGGGAGACCAGCCATGACGATGTTAAAAAGTAAAGGTGATAGAACAGATCCCTGCAAGGTGCCCCTATTTCCCAGCACTTGCGCATCCAATTCTAGATCTCCAACTTTAAGTATGGCTTTTCGACCACTCAGGAAGCATCTGACAGACGCATGAAATGAACCTAGGTTGAAACTAGAGATCGCATTCAAAATAGAATCATGATGGACATTATCAAACGCTTATTTTATATCCAAGCCTAGGATTGCCCTGGTGTATCTGGTATGATTATCTAAAGTTTGAGTCTTAATGATGTTCATAGCATCCTGCATAAATAGGCCTGGCCTAAAGCCAATTAGGCAATGAAAAAAGAGATCATCGTTATAGTGGAATTTATGGCCCTAATATTAAATATACAAAAGATAAGTAGTTTAATTACAGTAATTGCAATTATGACTGACTTATTACTTCTGTGCACTTTCTTCTCTTAACACATCAGGTAGAATGCTTCGACTGCAGCTCTTTAAAATACTAGTTCCTGGAGACCTTCAATGTATTCATTTAATTGGAGCATCGGGCCACGAAGGTCTGTTGTTGAATGAAAGAGCTGATTCTTTAGACGCATTTGGCGTAATCATTTGGGTTTTCCGCTTACAGCCTACATCACAATCGCAAGCTTCCGCACACTGACATTCGGAAAAAGCTTATCAGACCCTGCATTGACAATTTCTCAAGAATAGAGGCACCTCTTCATCCTATCTTCTCGTTGGTTCACGGCATTGACGAAAAGACCACCTCTTCTGATTCTCTGGGTCTGAAAGTATCAGAATAACTTATTCTTCGTTTTGGCTCCTTTACTCTGGGCTACAGTAACAGAGATGCTTTATTTGCAATTGAGAAATTCACCAGTATATAAAAGAGATTATCTAGCTAAATTTTTCATTCTTTAAATAGTTCATTACTAATCTTTTGTACTTAATTTCATTACTTTTTTAGTAGTAAGTTATGCGAGTAATATACTAAAAAATTTCATGTATTACTCTGTCAATGCCCTGATTTGGAGTGAGCAATGAGAGGAGGAAAAAAAGGAGCAGAAGAGGAAAATGAACACCTCGCTATTCAAATCTGGACTGGTATTAGGTACTAAATATAATAACGCAACATAAGGTCACAAAAACAAAACAAAAGGCTCAGGAAAGACCCTCAAGCCAAATGTTATGTGACCTCTGCTAATAAAATACGACCTATGGCATTGTGGAAGAACGGCTGAACAGTTATAGTTCACGCTGACTTGTTGGCTGGAAGTATTCAAAATTACTATATCTGGCAAGAACTCTATCTGCTCTACTAAAACTGTCAGCATAGCGCAGTAAATTCATTATTTATTTGCAGTTATCTCTGACCTGAAGAGATCTGACTAACGGAAAAAAGTGTACTGTTTTTATTTACGCTATTTCTTATAAATAGCATTATTTATTTTTTAATATTGAAACTGTATACCTACTCATAATACTTCTTTTGTTCATGTTTGCTACACATCTGGCAACAAAATTAAATGTCATGGCTACTTTGACTACATTTAGTACGAGTTCTGGATCTTTTCGGAGTCCCCCCCAATGGCAAGCCTGTGTGTGGTCAATCCCAATCGCGGGCATGAGTCGGAAGCAACAGTTCATAGCTTGGAAGATGTTTACTGTGAGTCGAAGAGACCTTTTTTTATATATATATAGGCAACACGTGAAGCAGCCGTCAGTCTTCGAAACAACTTGGAACAGCGGCGGCTCTTTGACGTGCATCTAAACCAAACTACACTTTAGCGTGTTTGCTTTTTATCCTTGCAGTAATGCGGCTGCTGTGGCTGGAAATCAAAACGCCGTCCATAAGCTCGTCTAATTTTGGTTCCGCCGGTCGTGATTCTTTTATAGAAAAATTAAAAAGAATAGTGAGTCACGAAACTGTCTGCATCCATGCACGATAGCTCAGCAGTACGTAACTCGCGAGAAAGTGGAATTACTAAGAGGGATAGGGAGAGAGAAGTAAACATTGACACGAAAGTAAAATATTGGGAGCCGGTTAGAGATATCCGTGGACGGGTCCCCGAAAAGTGGACATCGTGGACGAGACAACCGTACGCCTGGCACAAAATCCAGTTGAGCGACTCCCTTTTAACGTTTTGGAGATGCGACTGGTGACGCGTACAACTACACTCCATCATGCAAGCTTGTTGTAGCAAAGTGTAAACTATGGAGCTGCTTCTCCAATAGGAAGAGCCAATGCGCCTCACTGTGTATTTATTTCGCGCAGCGCAAGCAGATTAGCCCACGGCAGCAACCAAAACTCTTAGCGTTGGGCAGCAACAGCAGAGCCGCAACGAAAAATAACAAGGCACGTTTGCCGAGTAATGCCAGTACACGCTGTAGCAGCCAGTACTCTTAGCATTGGGCAGAAACGACAGCACCAGAAAAAAAAAGCACCAGCTAGGCAGCACACATCGACGCTTGCTCCTTGCTCCTCGAAATTACAATGTCG